GTCAGACAGAATTGAATTCTTTATTTGAACAGTATTTTCTTTTATACAAATGTTATTGATACCTAATTACACTAATACTTACAAACTAAATGTACATAATTTCATATAAGCAAGTCAGCATATTTCAGTGACCTACATATGACTGATTGACTAATATAAACCAATATGTAACATGAGTGCAGCAATGCATGAACTCAAGCTGAGTTCAAATGAATATATGGGTTATTAATAATTTGCTGCGTGTGTGTTCTGCATATGTGTATATATGTATATATTGAACAATTGGATATAGTGAAAGTGAAACGGATTTCAAATGCATGTTACAGTCCCACCCGTGACGGTGGAGTCGCCCATATACAAGAATATTTTAATTTAAAAGAAGTAAAAAGAAATTTAAAAATTACTTTTTTTCAGAATTATAAATCCAAGAACACAGCTTAACAAAATTTGGTTGTGTTTTATCACAAAAACGGGGCCAGCCTATAGATTTTTTGATGGTTATTTGAAGTGCATTTAAAAATTTTTTTTAGCGCGTCCAGTTTTTGAGAAAAAAACTGTTGAAGTGTCGAAACATGGCAAGTTAAAAAAAAATAATAATTAACAACATATTTTAGACGTAGTTTTTCCGAAGAAAAAACCACCTATTAATGAAAATCAAATTCGTCTGATGGATTCTTCCTCATGTCGATGGATTGAGTAGAAGGGGCGAAAAATTAAACTAAAAAAAAAACTTAGTAAAAAACAAAGTAGTTACGGATCAGCGGTCTTGTTTCGTTCTTGGCTAATTGCACATTATGGATTGCTCGCAGGCAACTATGCTTGTGCGTATTTTTTAATTGATTCCGTTATTGAGTTAGCAGACTATATGCATTCTGAATACCCTTCTTAATGTAATTAATAACAAAAAATATTTTTTTTTTCAAATCAGGTACCGCATACATAAATGCTGTTTTTTATGGTCGTAAAGCAGACAGTGATAAAGATAAAGACGGTCCCAGTTCAAGTATGTCGTCCAGCTCAAATGGCTGCACGGTGCCAACAAATACCCGTAAACATATTCTGCAAGTCTCAACGTATCAGGTTTATATATTAAAAACGTACAGCTACAAATTCAATTTATATAATAACATTTTCAGATGTGTGTTTTAATGCTTTTTAATAATCGTGATGTATTAACATATGAGGATATACAACAAGAGACAGATATCCCTGAACGGGAATTGGTGCGTGCACT